ACTTTGTAGAAATGTGCAAATAAGGCCTCTGGCCTTGAGCTGGGCTTCACAGAGATGTCTACATTTTTAAGATAAGTTACAATTGGGCTCCATGGTAACAGCTGGCAGGGGGAGGAAAGAAAGGGGAGAAGAAGCTCTCTTCTTCTCAGGTGTTGTCCTTGAAGAGTTAACTTGCCCAGAACAGTAAAAGAAAAAGCTGCTTTTATGTGAACCTCTGCAGACTGTGAACTTCCGAGCCCCTCCCCTTACACACTGGGTATAAAACTCTGAAACTCCCTGAACTCGGGGTTCAGGAATTAATTGATTACAGCAAAAGCTGTGCCCTCTGAACCTGGCTGCAGCCAAATAAAACTGTTTCCTGCTATCTTCAGTGCCTTGCCTCGTCTGTCCCTACAACAGTGTGGGAGAAGATAACCCACTATGGATCAGAAGCATTAGTCTGAGATCTTATAAACTGATTCAGACATAGTGTGATGTTTAAATCTTTGTCTGATTCATTGGGTTACATGCTGTAGAATCTCATTTCTACCAAAAGAAAATAAAGTTTTAGAATTTTAGGATCATAAGAGGACTGCTCTTTGTTCTTAGACAATAGGATATAAGGCAGAAGCCCTCTTCAGTCTCATCTTGGGTTTTCCCTCTTCTTGATGAGTACTCTGGCGTGAAAATTCCTTTTGCCTTGTAAACATCTTGGGAGTCATCCTTCCTGGGCTGGAGATAATGCCTGTGGATGAAGAAGTCTTGGGTCTCCTGCTGTCACAGTACATGTGCTAGAAGGGTTTTGTACTTGAAGAGTTTGTAATCTGGTTGTTTGAGTCAACTTTGTGTTGTTGTGATCAAAATACCTGACAAGAACAATTTAGAGGTGGGAAAGTGTATTTGGGGTTCACGGTTTGGGAGATTCAGTCCATAGACAGCTAACTCCATTGCTCTGGGCCCAGTACAAGTACATCATGTGGGAAAGACCAAGTGGGGGAAAGCAGTTCAGCTTATGCTGGGGTCAGAAAGCAGAGAGGGAGAGAGGGGGAAGGGGTCACATGGATGGAAGATGCACCCTTCCAAGGCAGGCCCCCAGTGACCCATCTCCTTCAGCCGTACTCCATCTGCTTACAGCTGCCTCCCAGCCAGTCAATTCAAGTGAGGATGGATTGATCATGTTACAGCTCTCATAATCTAATCATTTCACCTCTGAATATTCCTACATCAATACAGGAGCTTTTGGGGTGGGGGAGGGACACTTCGTATCCAAGCTGTAACACTGGTCTAATCCTTTGATGGGTTTCATTTTCATATTTGGTATTCTGAGGAAGAAGACTAAGCCTTGTTCACCAGGAATTGTGATGCAGAAGGCACTTTGATAAGAACTGTGCAAAAAGTGAATTCATATTTCATCATTTGCTAGGAAAGGGCACATTGGGGGTTGGTCGGCTGTGTCAAGACCTGTTCTAGAAGGCTGTCAGGAAGAGGCAGGTGATATGCACCTGAAAAGACAGACTGGGTTACCAGGCCTTTCGGGAATGAATATAAGTTAGGATTTAAAAGATCCAGGGACAATCCAATGAAAATTGTGTGTTATTTAATATTTGGAGTTTAATATTTACCTAAAGTCAGTTTACTAATTAACATCATGGAAGTTTGGGGGAAATTTTGCTTGAATTGAATTAGTTTTGATTTCATCAAAGCTATTTCACCTATCAGTTCTGGGAGAGTCATCTGTTTCATGCTAAATGTCAGTTTCAGGGGTGATTCATGGTTCAGACACTGAGCACTTACCAAGGACTTAAAACACATGGAAAATATTCATTTGACTGAGCAAGTTAACACACCTGGGAATTAGGAGAAGTACAAAAGCAACAACTATACTGAAAATTTGTTAGTATAGAGAAACCTGCCTTATCTATAATTTATAAAATCCTTCACTTGGAAGACATATACAAAAGCTGAATCTTGAAATGAGTTACAAGGTCTCTCCTTCCCCCAAATCATAGACCTAAAGTATAAAACCAAAACAAAAAGCACCTCACTGTCTGTCAGGGTTATGCTGCAATGATTGGGTGAATTGACTGCAGCTACAATAATTTACTAAACTCAATGTAAAATTAAATGAGCTAAAAAAATTAAAATTGGGGTAAATAAAACTTCAGAGAGAAATTCAAAAATTATTTCAGTAGCTCCTCCACTATGAACTAATTTATTAAGTTCCTTTGGGAGTATTCTTGTTTTGTTTTTTGTTTGGGTGATTTTTGTTGTTGTTTTCGGTTTTTGTCTTTTGGTACATTGGGAAATAATAGAAGACTGACCGTTTGTGGAACTTGTCTTTTGGCAAATTGATTTTCAGAGAAGTGGCTTTCAGAGAATTGGGTTTCCCTGAATGACCTAAAGCAGCTTTGGGTTCTCAGATGCTTCATGCACGCGGGTCCCTTCTGGGGTTGTAAAGCCCTGGTCATGGAGTGCAGCCGGCTGCTGTCTTCAGAGGCCTTCAGGGCAGTCCACAGCCCACCCAGAAGCCATTCCTAGGTATTCTGCACAGGCTCTTGGGTGGAACTCAGATGACCAGCTGAAGATATCCCACCCTCCACCTGGACTCCCCCAGAGGACTGCGCGTGATGGGGGCTCCCAGTCTCTCTCGGGCTCTGCTGGGAACAGGAGGTGGCCCTTCTGAGCACATGAATTCCACTCCAGGTCCTTTTCAGCACCTCCCTGAGACCTGAAGAGAATCACTTCCTCTCCCCGGTCCTCAGATTCCCTTTTTGGTCTCCTGAGACAAGAGATAAAGAGAAGTTTCTGCTTAGCTGTTTTTGTGGCCCCATGAAAGCCCTTCTGGGAAAGGGTCTGTCAGTGATAAACGAATGGCTTCCAAAGTCCTGTCTTTAATATCCTGTCTGCCCCAAACCCATCATTCACCTCCCTGGGCTGTCTGGGGGTGGGAGGGCCTTCATTCCTCTTCTTTGGTCAGGGTTTCTTAAAAATGGTGATGGTCTTCTGTCTGCCTGGCCGTTCCCCAAACTGCATCAGTACAGAACTTCCTGCCATAGTCTCACCCTCGTTCCCCGCCCCCTTGCCCCCTGGTGTGGCCTCACAGCCTTCCTGATACCAGGTGGGATGCAGGCCTTGACTCTGGAAACCCAGATATTTTTCCCAGGTAACGCTCCATGTGCTGATAGGGACAGAGACCTGGAACTCAGTCCAGGATCCTCTCTCCTTCGCCCACACCCTTGGCAGTGCTACACAATTAAGAGATTTGTCAGGAACACCCACACCAGTGCTGAGCACACTAGGTGTCAGAATCTGCCCCGGGGGCCATGTGTGGAATCCCAGAGGCAGATGGCTACTCTGGGGATCACTCTGCGGCACACTGGGCTTTGAGTCGTCTCTAATGAGGTGCAGACATGGTGCCAGGTGCTGCCTTCATGGTGTCTGGTGGCTCAGGTGTCAGCATGTCATCTTCCAGGTAAGAAAACTGAGACTCAGAGAGGTGAAGGTATGTGCTCATGGTCACATTGATAACAAGTGGCCATTGAGAATTTACGGACTTCCCTGGCTCATTCCAAAGGCCATGGTGAATTGACTGCCACTAAAATGGACGCCACCACTTAGTGGGATATTAAGTGACCACTAAAAGCAATGATGTGCATCTCTACTATTTTTATAAGAAAAGGTATCCATAGATTATGGAACCATCTGTGTGATACCATGTCATGTCTGGGAAGGGAAAAGTACCTACAAGGAGGTGGATGGGATTGGGTAGAGACAAAAGAAAAAGGCAGGATACATTCCAAAATATTTCCCAGTGGGTGAGCATGTTAGCTCTCCTGGTGAGCTGGCCCTCCTGCTCTCCCTACCTTGGCCTAAGAACCACTGGTTTAACACAGTTAGAAGAAGATAAATGTGCCATCATGGATCATTTGAATTAAAATTTCTCTCAAGCAAAAACAGAAAAAAAAACTCATTTCACAGAGGATGAAGCAGAAGCCCAGGCTTGTTAAATGACAAGCTGCCTGTTGGTCTCATGTTCACAGCCACACACAATACCCTACGCCAAGTTCAAAGAGTGGGCCTGCTCACAGTCAGTTTGCCTGTGGCAGCCACTGGCAGACCTCAGTGTTCCTTCTCCATCATCCCTCCTCTCCCTAACTCCTCTCTGGGATGCACTCTTCAGACGGAAGCTCTAGAAGCAATGTCGAGCCTCCCAAGGCCAGGAGGTCTGGAGTCCTTGGAGGACAGCAGAGACCTGCTCTCAGCCTTGGAAACACCTCAGCTTGGGATTTCTGCCCTTTTCATCTAACTGGCAAGTGGTCCCCACCTCCAGGGCCACTCCCCACACTTTTCCCATCACAGGGCCCTGATTTCTGGACACTTCCTGACGAGCTGGCTTTCATTCATGCAAAGTGGGTCTCATCTTCAGGACCCACCTTTTAAAAATATCTATAGCATCCTGTATTTCAGGTATAGGACACATGTACACAAAGACACAGAGACACATGCATATACATACACAGACACAGAGACATGTGCATAAACAAAGAGGTAGGTACACACACACACATATCCGCACAGACCACACACAGATTTTCCCTTTATTGCAGACACACACAGAGACACAAATACATGCAGACACAAATGTATAGAGACGCACCCCATCTTTTTATTTGAGGTTAAAACCCAACAGGCTGTGGGCAGGGACATTATCCTTCCTTCATGGGCATAGGTGGTGCTGCCCACCCTGATCTCCGACTCTGGCCTGGTCCTCACCCAGCAGCTCAGGCAGTCCCTAGGGCCATGACACCTGTTTCCTCCATCCTCCCCACCCCCATAGAGCCACCCACCTTTCCCTTTTCTGGTGGTATCAGGGGAGGTAAGAGGTGGACCATGGGGCTTACTCAAACCAGTATTCCCACCAGGTCCAAGTGAAAAGAGGGACTGAGCCTCAAAAGTATCTCAAATACACTGTTTGTGTCCCTTGGACTGTCTACTTTACAATCAGACACCAAGCACACAGCTGGACTTGTCATTTCTTTTATTTAAACCATTGTGACAGCCCTGTGAGGTAGGGAACACCCATTCCACAGCAGGGAGAGGGGGAGGGACCAGTCCAAAGAGGTACCTTCTGCCCAGGGTCTCAGCGGCAGAGAGGAGCTCGTGAGCAGTCCCGGAGAGAGCACAGCATCCAGACCAAGGACAGCACAGTCTTCCTCATGGATGAGGAATTTCCCATCTACCAACCCAGATTTTCCCTTTATTGCACCACAAAAAGCAGAGGCCCAGAGAAGGCAGAGAAGCCGGTGGGCCAGAATCAGTCCGACAGGGTGAGGCCCGCACCCTGGGAGCCTTACTTCTGGGTGAGGATCTGCACAAACTCCTCATAGTTCACCTGCCCATCCTTGTCCACATCAGCCTCGCGGATCATGGCATCCAGCTCCTCCTGCGAAAGCTGCTCCCCCATCTGGGCCATGGCCTGCTTGAGCTCCTCCACACTGATGTGGCCGTCACCGTTGATGTCAAAGGCACGGAAGGCGGCCCTCAGGTCTTCCTCACTGCCCCAGGCCTTCATCTTTTTGGCCACCACTGCCAGGAACTCTTGGAAGCTGATAACACCATCTTTATCTGTGTCTACCATGGCGATGAGCGCCTTCAGCTCGGCCTCCGATAATTTCTTGCCCAGCATCTGCATCACTTCACCCAGCTCCTGGACATTGATGTTACCATCCCCATCCTTGTCGAACCTGGTGAAGGCCTCCTTGTACTCTGCCACCTGCTCTTGAGACAGCTCCTCAGCCATGTCTGTGACCCTGCACCTCTCAAAGCTTCTGAGTTTGCTGACAACCTGTTGCTCCCAGGAATCGTGGTTCTGAGTTCAGAGCAGCCACTGGGCTCTGAGGCAGTGTCTGTCAGAGGGCAGAGCTGCAGGACAGCCTTGCCTCAGAGTGGGAATCCCCTCCTTTTCTGCAACTGGAGCAGAGGGAGGAGAAAGGCTCCCCACCCTCCACCTGTCCTCAGGCAAGATCCTCCTCCCAGGGAGGGACAGACCTGCTATAGACAAGAAATGCAGGAACTGGAGTGGGAGGGCCCATGGGAAGAGTTGGGTGGGAAGCAGCATGGAATTGCAGGCCTAGTGACCTCTCCTGGCCCTGATGGCAGGCCACCCTACTGCAAGGACACCTGCTCAGAGCACAGTTCCCTTGCAACTGATACTCACAGAGACCCGTATCCATGGGTTCAGGACAGCTTCCCCAATTTTGCAGAGACTTAGGGTAGAGAGGGGAAGGGCTGTGCAGGAAGCCTACTTCAGGAGCACAGCTGTCCCCAGGAGGAGAGCTGCTCTCCTCTCTGCTCTTTCCCTAGGGGCTGGTAGAGGGGTCTGTGGGAGAAATGAGTCTCCATGGGTAAAACTTTGGGCTCCATCAAGCTCCCAGGCCAGGGCAGGCAACAGGTCTAGAGCAACAGATGAGTTCTCTTCACTTTGGGAAGTTTTTCGCTTCCAGGAAGCAAGGAGCCATGTTCCATTCAGAACCACAGCTGATGCTAAGCTGTTGCTTATCAAATGAACATGTGAAGTGTAATTTCAGAGGCAGGGCAAAGGCTTTTATATCCCCCTGCCAGGAGAGCCCTCCAGCTCAGTGATTCCTTCAGTTCTCTTCCATTGCTAAGTCCAAGGTCCTCTGTGTGGATACCCTTGGAGGAGAGTGGCTGTGGCCCATTCACAGGAGGATGATACCAGGAGGCTGGAGTCTTGACAGAGTCGCCTGGAGACTGGTTGACCATAGAAGGCCAGCCCAGCTGATGCTGTGGGGCAGGAGGAAACAGAACAGGCGCTACAGTGTGAACTTGGCCTGCCTCTGGTTTCGCTGAGCATCAGCACTAAGTGTGGTTACTTATCGGGGACCCCAGAGCCCTCCATCTGATTTACCCTCTGAAAAAAAGCTCATCCCTGCCCACTGCCTAGAACAGCAAGGTTTAGACCAAGAGCTCAGCCTTTAGTGGGCCATCCTCAGGTCCTTCCTGTGGTGGGATCCCTGCTTCTGAGGGGAGGTTTGTCATGGAGTTCCCACAGTGACTTTCTAAAGGAAGTTTCCTCTTGATCTCTATGGATTCTCATCCCCCCTCCCATAAGGAATAAATTCCTTTACTCTCCTCCTGCAAAACTTACAAAATCCCTTTCTCTGGTTCACCCAATCATTTAGAGCATTCTCTCCTTCCCTTAGGTGCAGCCCCGTCCGCTTGGCATGCCACCCCCAGAGTCCAGGGGGGACAGAGAGAGACAGAGAGAGAGAGAGAAATAGAAATGTTGCAGTTGTTCAACTCCTTTTTTTTTTTTTTTTGTACTAGGATTTTATTTAGAGACAGGTCTCACTAAGTTTCTTAGGGCCTCGCTAAGTTGCTGGGACTGACTTTGAACTTGTGATCCTCCAACCTCAGCCTCCCGAGGCTCTGGGATTACAGCTGGGCACAGTGTCCCCAATCCTTTTAATATTTATTTTTTAGTTTTTGGTGGACACAACATCTTTTGTTTGTATGTGGTACTGAGGATCGAACCCGGGCCGCACACATGCCAGCGAGCGCGCTACTGCTTGAGCCACATCCCCAGCCCCAACTCCTTTTATAAAGAGTTCTTGAACAAGGATTGCTATCTCATCTCTACTGGAATAGTGCTGAGGACTCAGTATACATTAAGCAACCAATTTCTCAATAAAACTGGCAACCAGTTTCAGGTGGAGACATCATTCCAGCCTGGAGACCAGAACAGGGAAGCATCCTGCTGGGTAAAGACACAGGAAGGGTGGAACTCTTAATAACTAGATTCAACCCAGCTCTTTTATTTATTTTTTTAAAGAATATTTGAAGATATCCATCTGTATTTGAAATTTCCTTTTCTTCTTCTCTTGTTAGCAGGACCCATGATTAAAATCCAAATGCTTCATAATTATGGTCTTATTATTATTCCCTGGCTGTTAAACAAATTTTGCAAATAGAAGACTCGAGTTCCTGGTTCCAGGTCGGTCACTGATGTGGAAACTTCCATCTCGATATCTTTACCTATTAACTAGGATGATACACCCACCATATCTAATGAGAGTACTTATGATCAAAGTTTAAAGTTCAGAACCACAGAAGGTGTCATTATTCTGTGATGAACCTATATGTTCAAGGACAAGCTGGCTCACCTTTGATGTAAACCTCAGGAAGATATCCACTTCAAGAGGGAGTATACTCTCAATTCTATTTTCATACCTTTGTTGCTTGACCTAAAAAAACAAGACTTGTCCCCCTGAGGTTGTTGGGGGTGTCATTCCATGCACAGCAGGGGCTTCATTCAGAAAAGCATCCGGCTGATATCCACCATGGGACAGGAAGGTGATCATTCTTACTGACTCTCATATTCTAGATGAAGAGATGGAGCTACCAGAAAGAAAAGTCCTGTGACTTCTGAATGTCTTCTGCATCCTTGGTCTGCCATGTTTGGATCCTGCTTCCTCTGCAAGGCTATGCTTTCTCTTTTGAGAGCAGATATAAACACTGAAGTGGTTTCTTTACTCTTTCTCACCCAAACTCTTGCCTCAGTTAGTGAGCAGTCAGTAACGTGGGCTCAGCCTCCAAGGATGGGACCCACTCTCCCCTCCTCTTTGGGTCAGTCATCCATGTGTCACCTACACTACAGAGCTTGATACTAGGGGTCAAAGTAGGTGTTAGAAAAGAGGACAACACTGCCTTTGTGGCCAAAATCTGGATAAGCTTGTGCAAGCCCTTTTCTTTGGCTGTTTTAATGTGCAGCAGCCCAGACACAGAGCCCATTCCAGCTGTGTGTAAAAGAGGTAGTAGAAACCTAAGGATGACATAGTTTCATGGGTTCCTTCCCAGCTCAAGTGCATTCACTAGGCTGTGCTTCCTGAGAGGCTCCCTGTGTGATAAAAGGAAGGGATACAGTTCATGCAGTGAGGATCTCAAGGCGAGGGGGACCTGGCACTTGCTCCCTGTCCCCTTGGGGCTACTTGAGAGGCAAACTCAAGCAGATCCATCCATCCCCAGCCATGGTGGCCATGGCCCTGGGCCGTGTGTGAGGGACACCAGGGAGGTGCTAAGGGCCCAGAAGAACCACAGCTGAGTGGGAAAGGCAGCACCTGGAACCAGGTGAGAAAGGAGAAGGTTGTGGGGTTGGAGGAAAGAGCAGGGTGTAGGAAGGCCTGAGCCTCTTCACTGAGTGCCGGAGGTGGATTCTCTTCTTCAAGACGTGTACCCTCTGCTGCCCCTCACATGCCATTCCCTGGTGAAGATACAGACTCTGCCCAGAGAGAATGACAGTGGCGCTGGAGGAGAAGGTGCCCCTTCAATTAAGAGGGCTGAAGACCTCTGAGGGAATTGGAGGAAGGATGGAAACCTCTCCAATACTGCTGGAGCTCCCAGGGCAGGAAGGGGAGCATTTGTGGCCTAGGGGACTGCCCTATGCAATAGCTGTGTGCACTCATGTGTACCTGCACATGTGGATATGTGCTTGTGTGTGTGCGAGTGTATAGGTGTGTTTTATGTGACACCTATGTAGGTGCACATTTATGTATGTATGTGTGCACTGTGCATGAGTGTGCATATATGCATGTGTTATATATATATATATCTATGTGTATGTGGTTACATGTGTCCTATGTGTCTATGTGTGTGCACTGGGTGGGGCGTGCGTATGTGTGCATGTGTTTAAGTGTGTGGCTGTGCACACAGGTGTTGGGAGGAGGTGTGTGGGATGGTTGTCATTTTGTTCAGATGTTTGGGCTAAACGGCTAAAGTCAAGTCCTGCTTTCACATGAGCTTGGCCCCAAGAACAAATACACTCTCCAGTGTCCCATTATTATTTGGCTTCTGTGGGTGAAACACTCCTAAGAAACCCGTCAAACAGGTCTTGGCTCCTGTGACTTGCAGGAACCTGATTTCACCCTCGCACCTGAGCAGAGTCTGTGGTATTGGCACAGCCTGGCTCCCCACAGGGAAGTGAAGAGAGGTCTGTGTGAAGTCACTGCACCTCTCCAGGGCGTGAACCATGGGAGAGAACTCCTGGGACCAGCTCCACGAGCTCGTGGCCATCAGGATTTTCCTCGGCACAGGACAGCAGAAAGGGTAGATGACCGTGGTGTACCGTCAAGAGGGCAGCTCCCAGCCCCCTCCCCCACAGCCCCTCAATGCAGCACAGTGTCCCCTCCAGCAGCAAGAGCATGTGGTTCAGTAACAATGTGGGGTCAAGTCCTGCCTCCCCTGTTGTCCTCCCTGTGCACCCTGGGCAAGGTGCTTCCTGGCCCCATCCCTGCCTCATAGGGTCACCACAGAGATCAAAGAGCTGCCAGGGAGGATTAGCTCAGGGCCTGGCTGCAGTGATATAGGAGCATCACTATCACCTGTCACCCAGTTATCCTGCACCAACTTTCTGCTAGGTCCACGTTAGGCTTCCATCTCCTCTGGGCCGTCCTCCTCCTGGACAAAAGATAAATATCCTCACAGCAGGCCAGGGTGGCCATTGGATGGGCTGAGAACGTCTCCAGCAGAGGTAAGAAGTGCTGATTTCATGGACACTAAGGACAGCGTTGGCAGAGCTCCTGCTAGTGCCCACCACAGAGTGCTCCATGAATGTCGAACAGATTGGACAGATGGACACAGTTAACAGGAAATGCTCACGTGGTAAGGACTCAGAAGTTGCAGGTCACTGTTCCATCGCAGACCCCTGTCCAACCAACAGGGTGATTCTTGAGCTACAAAGTATAAAGTCACACCAGGGGCCCCTAGGAAATGGCAGAGGCCCTCCTCTCACGGAGTGGGTCTGTGCTTTCTCAGGTGAAGGGAGCCTTGGGGCTGATGAGGGCTGCTATTTATCCAGTGCCCACAGTCTGCCTGGACTTGTCGTGTTCATTGGTGAGAGCAGTCCTTCCCCACTCTCACCATCGTTGACACACCTGGGAAC